ATTATCAGGGAATAGTGGTGGTAAAAAGCAGACCGCTTTCAGTTTGTTTTAGTACTGTTGTTAGGTTGTCTTCAGATCATGACCCTTTTTTTGCCTGGCCAGGATCTGCCCAATGCTGGGATGGATGTGTTACCCACGGGCAAGGTACAACGTACACAGCCTCTGGCGTCCGCTGTGTCTATCCTGTATTTGAGTCTTCGGACAATCACCTCACTTCTGAGTTTTTATAAAATGAGTATACTAATGGATTCCTCATAGAATTCTTGTGAAAATTACATAAGAAGTGAGTATGCAACTTGAAATGTTTGGTAACAGCACATACCATCACTGGCTTATGAGTAGAGATGGTCTTGTCCATCTTCTTTGTTCGGCAATAAAACAATGGAATGAGTAGTGTTGACGTGTAAAAATTATTGAGTTGAAGCTCTCATCTTCTTAGCCTCACTCATTATACAGATGGTCTGGAAGACCTCTGAAAATGTTGCTTGAAGTCACAAAGAAAGGTAAGATATTGTCCTCCCCCAACCTCCCCCAAGTTTTCCTTCCAATAGGCACTGGACTTCTGGGGTTGGCTCCTAGGTGGGCAACTCTTGGGGAGGGTTTTTATTTTGTTTTGTTTTTTTCAATCCTCACCCGAGGACATTTTTCCATTTTTTGTTCAGATAGAGTGGGAGGGGGAGAGAGAGAGAGAACATTGATGTGAAAGGGACACATCGAGTGGTTGCCACCTGCACGGCCCAACCAGGGCCGGGGACAAACTGCAACCAACCAAGGCACGTACCCTTAGCGGGAACGAAACCTGGGCCTCTCTGGACCGCAGGCCGATGCTCTAACCGCTGAGCAAAACCGGCCAGGGCGAGGGTTTTTATTTTGAGTTCTGGTATAGAAAGTGGATGCACCATCTCACCCCTAGTACCTGCTTTCTACGGGAAAGGCAAGATGGACAGAGCAGGGATCTGAAGGCCACGGGGTAGGTGCTCTAATCCCACTGCCTCTTTTTATGAGCTGTGCAACTTTGGCCTTTTAACTCAACATCTCTGAACATAACTATTCTTGCTCACCTATGGGAAAATGTACCCCTTTCCATGGATTAGCATGAGAATCGAATGAAATAGCACTGCATACTCAGTATGATGTACACAATTGGTGCGACTCGGTGTTAATTCACTAATGTCTCCTTTCTAATGTGCGAGGAGAGCGGGAAAAGAAGGAAGGGAGAAGCAGGAGGCTGCATGAGAAATCATGTGGTGTCCATAGAATACAGCAGGTGTCTTGGAAAAGCCATTAAGAGCAAGTAGCAGCCCCCAACCCAGGCTGTGTCCATGACCACGGCTCCACCCAGCTGTTTGCAGATGGGCTGCTCTGGAATGGCAAATATTAGACCCAGGCAAACGTGGCTTCTGTGAATTTCTTCTGGGCTTCATTCTGAGAACTGTCATTCTGTGCATCTTCTCTCCACCTCTGCCTGTTCCCTGGCCGCCGGAATGTGGCCCTCACGGTGGCGCCGGAATCATTGCCAGGGTGATGGAGGTGTCCTGGGCTCCGAGTGTGCAGATTTGGGCCTGGATGGCTGGTGAGGGCTTCTTGACCAGGGGCCCCTGCTGTTCAAGGACAGCTCTAGCATCAAGATGACATAAAAACTGGTGTCCCCAAGGAGGCTGGCTCATCTTCCCCTCATTCAGGATTTCAACTTATTTTCATCTCCAAGGCATCCAGTTCAGGGGTCACAGGGCTTTTAAGCATGGTATTTGGTGACACGATTCTGACCCTGGAAGACCCTCAATATTTGTGTCTTTCCCAAAATTTATACGTTGAAGCCCCAAACTCCAATGTGATGATATTAGGATATGAAGCCTTTGAGAGAGGTAGCTTTAGACGAGGTCGTGAGGATGCGGTCGTGGTGGGTTTGGTCCCTTGCTCTCCCTCCCCCACCCACGTGAAGCAAGAAGGCAGCCACGTGCAAGAGAGCTCACGAAGAACGGACAGGCCAGCACCTGGTCCTGGACTTCCCAACCTCTGGAAGCGTGAGAAGCCGTCTGTTCTTTAAGCCACACAGTCCACAGTGTATTTTTAGAACAGCCAGATAACTAGACATCTCCTTAGAAACCTGTGTTCCGATCCCAGCTCTACAACCAGGTCCTGACCTTGGCTAAGTTAGGAACATGTCTGAGTGTCAGTCCCCTTGAAGAGTTACAAGGCACAGGAAAAGAGAAAGGGGTTATTTCACTTACCTCTTCACTTGTAACAAACCCCAAAATGTGGCTTGAAACAACTTATTATTAGGTCTCATAGTTTGTAGTTCTTTGTGTGTTTGCTAATCCTCACCCAAGGATATTTTTTCCATTTTTTTTTTTTTAGAGAGAGTGGAAGGGAGGAAGGAGTGAGAAAGAGGGAGAGAGAGAGAAACATCAATGTGAGAGAGACATCAATTGGTTGCCTCCCGCACGTGCCCTGACCAGGGCCTGTGATCGAACCTGCAGCCCAGGTATGTGCCCTTGACCAGGAATCAAACCCACGACCCTTCAGTGCATGGCCGGCACTCTAACCACTGAACCACACCAGCCAGCCATAGTTCTACAGTTGTACTGGGCTCAGGGGGGCAGTTCGCTGGTGGGGGTCTGTAGCTGCAGTCATCCAAAGGCTGAGCACCCAAGAAGACTCCTCAGGTGGGGGTATTTTGTGCCGTTCCCCTCTGGCAGCTCCGTTGAAGATGCTGACCTGAGAGTCTACATGTGGCCTCTCCATGTGGTGTGAGCTTATCACAGTATGATAGATGGGTCCCCTCCCCCCCAAAAAAGAGCATTTCCAGGGGAGCATAGGTAAAAAGCTCGAGGCTTCCTCTTATCCAATCTTGGAAGCCCTGGGACATCTGCCACATTCTCATGGTCAAGCAATCCACGGACTTCAGTGAAGATTCAAAGGGAGAGGAAAGAGACTCCACTACTCAACAGGATGGAGGCGAGATTATAACGCAGAAGAGCACGAAGGCGGAGACCTCGGAGCAGCCATTTTGGAAAAGGTCGTCTGCCACAAAAAGACCAAAGAAACAGGTGAGATTGGTCCCCTGTCAAAGTTGGAAGACAAACCTTGTCATTTCAATGTTCAGCATGATTCTGTCTGCCTCCTCTGCTGACAGCTGTGCTGAGGATGGGTGTCGTTTTAGTCCCATTGGAGACCCCGTTAGAGAAAGAGTCTCTCCTCAGCTCCTGCTAATGGTCCAGGTCCCCAACCCCTTTACACTTGTTTGTCATCTGGGCCTTCTCCTTTCCCTTGCCCCCTCCTCTAATTTCCAGTGTTCCTTTAAGCAGAACTCGGGAACCTCGGAGATGTTCTTCCCCCTTCTCTGAGGACTGGAGAGAGCTAAGCATAACATCAGGGATGCCAAGCACATTACCCTATTATCACGAAGGCACAGCCTCCTGGACGGAGACAGCTTCCCGTGAGAAGCAGGCACCGCTAACGACAGGGTACACGTGCCTCATGGCGTTTATTAATTCTCTATGTTGCCAAAGCATTTCACCACAAAATTCCAGCTTAAAACAATACCCACTTATTATCTAACGTTTCCACAGGTCGAAAGTTCTCTGGGTATCACCACACTGAAATCAAGGTGTTGACCAAGCTGAGTTTTAACTTGGAGGTTGTACGGAAAATCTGTCGTGGAAAGTCAGGTTCGTGGCGGAATTCAGTTCCTTGTGGCTGTATGACTGAAGTCTCCAGTTTCTTACTGGCTACCAGGCAGATTCACTCGCATCTTTTAGAGTGAATGGCCTTGCCACATGGTCCCCTCCTTCTTCAAGTCATCGACAGAGAGCTCCTCATGTGCCCAAACTTCTTCACCTTTGTTTTATTTATTTATTTATTTTTTATCCTCACCTGAGGACATTTTTCCATTTTTTGTTCAGATAGAGCGAGAGGGAGAGAGAGGAAGAGAGAGAGAGAGAAACATCGATGTGAAGGGACACATCGAGTGGCTGCCACCCGCACGACCAACCAGGGCCGGGGACAAACTGCAACCGAGGTACGTGCCCTTAGCGGGAACCGAACCCGGGTCTCTGTACCGCAGGCCGACGCTCCAACCGCTAAGCCAAACCGGCCAGGGCTTCTTGACCTTTGAATCTCCGACTCCCTCTATCACTGACCTCTAGACCCAGATATATCGGTCTCGTGTGATTATGACATCCCCAGATAAACTCCTCACCTTAAGACAAACTGATTTGAGACCTTCATCGCACCCCAAACATTCCTTCACACCAGTACCTACATTAGCATTTAACTGGGGACTGGTCCTCCAATTTCAAAGTTCAGGAAAAGTCCCACTCAACAGTCTGTGACATTATTATGAACTGGGATGATGACTGCTTAGACATGGTGTCCAGGGGAGCAAGCGTGTGCCATTCCCAGACCTCTGGCCTTTACAGTCACAGCTCATTCCCTTTGCTTGGAAAGCAACGAACACCGTCAGACAACGCAAGCCCAGACTTGCCTAGTCCACTGTGGAAGGTTAGGGACTCCTGAGCTGAATTCTTAGCATGTGACACTCTGGGCCAGTAATTTCTACCTACTTCATTTTTTTTTTTCTTTAAGAGAGAGAGAGAGAAACATTGATGTGAGAGAGAAACATCGATTGACTGCCTCCTGCACACCCCCTATTAGAGATCAAGCCTGAAACTTGGGCTTGTGCCCCAACTGGGAATCAGTACCAGGACCTCTCAGTCCATGGGATGACGCTCAATCCACTGGGCCACGCCGGCCGGCAACCTACTTCATCTTTTACTTCATGAACAACATTCCCACCTGTCATGGAGAGAGGTAGCAGTCGAGAGAACACCGGGAGCTCTCATTGTATTAACAATGCTTCATGCCTGAGTATCTCATGGTCGTTATTAATAATATGTCGTACTTTTGTGTATGTCTAAAACATTTCATAGAAATTATTAATTCTGGGAAAATGTCCCCACAGAGCCCTATAACGTTATATTAGCCTGTTTTCTCCACAGAACTGAAGAGCTTATGAGGACCGAGCAGCTCACGTTGGTTTTCCCAGCCATGCCCACGGTGGGCAATGCAGAACTGGCTGTGAAGATCTGTCTAGACCGAGTGCAGGGCATCCTGGTAGTGTGCAAGCTGGCTTCCCTTTTCCTTCTCATCCTCCAAATTCTACCCAGGCATTAAATTGAGTTCAGCGTCCCCCTCATCTGATCTTTCCTGCGTTTTCACTAATGAATACAATCCGCACTAGCATCTCTCTGTGTGTCCATGTGCATTTTGTGCTATAAAAGAGATTTCCTCTCATTTCACCCCACTTTGTCCCACCAACACCTCTGTGAGAGACACATTATTCTCATGTGAAAGTTCATGCCAAGATAATCCAGTGAGCATCTGCTATTGTCCACATATTGTAGAAAGCTCCGGAGATACAGCAATGGAAGCAGAGTAGAGAAAAATGTTGTTGCTTTCTTTAAGGAGCTTTGAATTGAAATAAGAAACTAGGAAACAGGCTCAGACAGGCCTGTGGTCCCCCAGCATAGGCAGAACCTGAGTGGGTACACAGCTGCGGTCTTACTCTAGGCTCAGCCCTGGATGTGGCTCCTGTTTTACTTCCATTATCCACAACCCAGTCGTGTAAGACTGACGTATTACGAATGAAGGAACGTTCTCTCTGAGAAACCTTACAAGGATGGTAAGAGATTGTGCCTGGTGGAGTAGGCTCCCTAAGAATTCATGTCCACTGGGAACCTCAGAATGTGACCTTATTTGGAAAGAGGATCTTTGCAGATGTGATTCAGATGCACTCACACTGGATCAAGGTGGGACTTGAACCCAATGACTGCTGTTCCTTTAAAAGGTCATGTGAAGACCCAGAAGGGCACGCAGGAAAGAGCCGTGTGGTGAGGAGGTGGAGACTAGAACACTACATCTACAAGCTAAGAACGCCAAGGGTTGTGAGCAACAGCCAGGAGCTACTAGAGACACCTGAACAGAGGCTCCTTCTGAGGGTCAGTCCTACTGACCCCTTGATTTCAGACATCTGGCCTCCTGCATGGTGAGACATTAAATGTCTATCGTTCAAAGCCAGCTGGTCTGTGGTCCTTTGTTACAGCAGCCCTAGCAAACTCATACAGAGACTGAGGCTGGAGCCAGGCCCTTATTCCATGCCAGAGTCCTGGTTCTCACCCCTGCGCTCTCCTTCACATGGGCTGACCAGAGAAAGGGTGAAGAGGAGGCGAATGTGCTCTGCAAATCTCAACGTGTTGCTCCGAGCTCATGGATCTTTATCATGAGGATCCAAGAAAATCCACTCCCCAAATGACCTAAGAACCCAGCAACATTTTATTAGCAAATACAGTGAGATATGAGACACAGCTCCTTCCCCATGGTTAAGTCAACTCTTTAGAATGATATTTTCAGAATTCCTCCTGCTTTCACTCAGCTCCCCATTCAGATCAGAATGATGCCCGAAACGGTGAGAAAGCCCCGAGTAACACAGCCCACCTCGGCTGTCATCAACCACGCTAGGAGGTGCAGGGCGCGCCCGGACTGGGGCAGGCGTGTGCACCCTGGACTGGCTGAAGGGGTGGTACATGGTACCTTGGTGTTCGGTTTTGTTGTTACCGTCATCATAAAACAATGCCCTAAAAAGTCCTCTGTGCATGTAATCAGCTTATAAAGAGAAAGGAACCGAGTCTGCTCTCTCAAGAGGATTTTCTTAAGGAGAGAAATGGACCTTTGTCTTGTCTGAGTGTTTGCATTCCTTCTAGTCCCACCACAGCCATACACACACACACACGTATGCACACAGGTGTACACATCTTGCATACATGTACACAGGCCCACACTCCCTCAAAGGAACTACCTGCTCCGCATTCCCTCAGACCCCACCGTCTGCTCTGTATCTTCATGGCTAACCCCTTCTGCTGACATGTCAAATGCTAAGAATAAATGTGGTGTTTCCATAGCATTGCACCCTCCCAATCTCTTCTTAATACCCATCTTACAGATATGCAAAATGAGGTACAGAAAGATTATGCAAGGTGGCCCAGCTCTTACCTGGTTCTTGCGTTCTCTCTAGTCCTTCACTGCATTTCTTCCTGGGAATGTAAATCCCACCCCTACCCTGAAGACACCAGAGTTCTGGCTCCAGCCCAGACAGGGGTGCTCCGGGCTCCCCAACAGCATGACGTCCTCCTTCGCTTGGCGTCTCAGACACCCCAAACATAATGTGTCGGAAACAACTCCCTTCTTCCCTCCGCCACATCCTATAAACAGGTCCAAAGTCGTTACCCACCCTTCCCTACTCCCTGACCCCCAGTGACTGTTCCACCATCTCTTGATGTAGCTGCTCAGTCCACACAACAAAGAATTTCCCACGATGTTCATTTTTCATCTCCCCCTTTCTAAATCGCACACACCAGCAAGTTCTTGCACTTACACCCTCCAAATATGCCCCTAGCGGATCTATGTTTCCCCCTCCCTACTCTTGTCACTCTGTCTTCACCAGCAGGGACACTGGGGTCTTCTGACTGATCTCCTCACTTCCGCTCAGTCCAAGGGATCATCTTGAAACAAAAATCTGATCAGGTATTTCCCTGCATGGTGCCCAGTACATCATGCCATCAGGGTACATGCCTTTACAGTCTTAGAAAACAAGCCACGAAAAGCCATCAAATGCTGTTCGCAAAAACCCTGTGGCCATCAATTTGATAGCTTGGAAATACTGAAAATAAATGGCAGCCCTGAATGGTAAGGGATGGATGAGCCTTGGCAGGCTGCCCGTATGCATGTTCCTGGATACCAGGGCTGTGCCTGACCGTTAGGCACCTGCTTGGCCATTAAGCCCTGGTCAGCACACTCAGAGCCAATGACTTCCCCATCATTCTTGCAACTGCTCCAGTTTCTGTCATGGTGGCCGCATTCCAGAAGTGAGGGGGATAGGAGCAGAAATGGGGAACAGACTACAAAGAAATGTCAGACTTCCAAGGGTCTCCTAGGTCATAGTAAAGGGGTAACATCCAACAGGAAAGCAGAGAGGGGCCCTGAGTAATCCTCTCCAGCTCACGTGAGCAGTTCACCTTTGGGGTTGGCCTTATGGGATGGCAGAGCCACCTTGCCCATATCCCAGCCCAAAGGGCAGGTTGAGCAGCAGACATACAGACAGGATCCTGGCATCCAAACAACCAGGAGTAGGGTACAGAACATGCTAGAATGGAGGCGTGTCGAGAGCTCGGAGAAAAGATCAGTTCAGTCTGCGGAGAAGTACTCATGGAGAATTCAACATTTAAGCCCCTTTGTAGCGATCACCGAATGAAGAACAGAGGGATGACTTTTCAGATAGAGAGAACAGCCTGTGCAGAAGCCATAAAAGCATGTACACTCTGGTAGAAACCAGGGCTCCAGGGATGAGGTGGGGGTGGGTAAGTTCCGGTAGATGCCTGGAGCTTGCAATCAAGGACAGTCCAGGTCATTGGAGATGTCCACAGGGGTCACATGTGGAGTGGAGAGACACACATTTGGTTTAGGGGGAGGCCATACGTGGGCAAGAGGTCAACTGGGTAGTTAAAGGGGAGGGGTATCACCAAGGCAGATGTCTCAGACCACTCCTGGGATTGTCCCTGTAGGTTGTAGGGGACTCTCCCCTGTGCCCACATAGCACTCCATGCTTCCGGCTCCCAGGGCACAACCTGCTGCCATCCATCTGTATGTATTGTTTCATGATTACAGAATCTAATTTTCCTCTTAAGATACTCAGAACGGAGATCAATTAAATAAATTTTTTAAAGCACCTTTAAATGTATTTTTGTTGGTATTTGGTTTTGTTTATCAATTTGAGAGAGGTAGAAACATCGATGTGAGATAGAAACATCGATTGGCTGCCTCCCCAACCCTCCACCCCCCACTGGGGATCAAGCCTGAAACCCGGGCATGTGCCCTGACTGGGAAGCCAACTGGCAACCCCTTGACGCATGGGAAGATGCCCAATCCACTGAGCCACACTGGTCAGACTGAAAAGCCCCTTTAAATCAATCACCCAAAAATGACCTCTGTAAATCATTTGGTGGATGTCCTGTGGGCATTAATTCCTATGTGTGCATGTGTGTGTTTGTGTGCATAGCACAAACTTTCCTAGTCCGCTCTTTGCACTTCATGATATTTATATTGGAACTATATTCCAATGCCCATCCATATCCATTTGCATCACAAGATTTTTTTGGTTGCCTGGCAATTCACAACCTAGTTTTGATAACCAATCTGTGGCCTTTGAATATCAGGTTGTTTCTAAATTTTCGCTTTTATAAATAAGTTACAGTGAGTGTCCCTGTCCTCAGAACTTTTTGCATTTGTATAAATATTTTTTAGAACAAAATATCCAGAGTTTTTTTTTATTATTATTAAAGATATATACACGTCTAAGTATTTAGAATATACTGCCAAACTCCTCTTTAGAAAGTGTGACTTGGTTGAACAGTACCTTAAGGTGCCCATTTCTCCACAACCTCACAGACCCCGGGAGTTATCAGTCTCCCTTTTCATCTCAATCCAATAGACACACAGTGGTATTGATAGTGACAGAGAGAGCTCCTCATCCCTGCTAGTTGCTAGTGTGAGTGGGCTTCTTGAGTTATCCCAAGAAATGTTTTGAGACTTGCACGGGAGTCTAAGGTATTGTAGAAAGCTTTATTTCTGTGAAATCAAACCCCTGAGTTTCCAAGGTCCCATTTCCCTTTGTTGAACCAAGGAAGAAGTGTAGCTGTGTCTTCAGTAGGCTGGAGTGAAAGCCATTGTCCAGAGTTTTCACTCCATATTGGAGCAGCGTCCAATCCCGAATCAAGCTAGCTTAGTTCGTGTTCCCTGGTGCAGTTCATCAGTCCATTGTGTGTGGGGTCCACATGGCTGTGGCCCACACAGGTGAACGCAAGAGAACCAAGAGTCGAGAGCGGGAGCTCCTTTGGTGGGGAATTATGTATCCCCAAATTTTTCCTGGCTCGCACTGGCCATGCCCAGGCTGGCCAATGATCTCTGTTCCCAGGTTTGACTGACATGTACCTTCCCTAGTCACTCCACCTTTATTGTGCATATGTCTGTCTCCCCTTTGTTGGAATCCTTTCCCCAGTGAT